CAGTACTTTGTCAGACTGACAGAGATGCAGCCAGTTCTTACTCACGAAAGCAGCTGCAAGCAGTGATTTCTTCTCAAGCATCCTAGAAAGATAATTGTGTTTTGATTTATCATATATAAAAAGTATTTTTTGTCCCATTGTTGATGTTGCAGTGATGAACTGCAAGCTCTTGTCAGTTGTACTACTGAGGAACCTGTTGCTTTATAGTAGAATAACATGCATCCCTCTCAGATTGTCGTCTCTACATCACCAAATATGAGTGTGACTATCAATATGAAATAAGTCAGCTCCAAAACATTCATTAATATTGATACAGATCTCTGTGTTTATTGTTAGGTGCCTTTTCCAGGCATATATACAACAAAATCCAAGAAAATATGGTGTAGTATGAGTGTCGCTCATTCCTGGGGAAAATAAAGGTGGATAAGGAAAGAGGATTGTAACAGTCCCTTCTCCTCCTCAGACCACCATGTGTTGTGTCATTCGTTCATTTATTTATTGTGAAATTCCATCGATCCAGTTGAGGCAAAGGAAGTCAGGAAAGGGGGCCGGATCATATTGAAGAATTCTCTAAATTTTAGAAAACATTTTCAGCAAAAGGAGTTTTAGAACTGAGATATGACTAAGAGTCAGAGATACTCTTGTCTTAGATTCATCAATTTATGAATAACTAAAAATTTTTACTGCATTACAAGTTTGTCGAAATTGATTCATGAAAGAAAAGCCTTTACATGATATAAATTGTCAGCAGTCATATGATCGTATTATTGTGTCAAACTTTGCACCTGAGTAGGTTGTACTCCTGCTTCACATTTGGGAGTTCCAAGGTTCAGATGTGAAGTTTTTTGTGGATTTGCTCAGTTCTTCTAGGCAAATACCAGGACAGCCTTGTGACTACTTCCTTTCAGATCCTTGTCAATTCATTATTCCTTAATCTTTTATCATGCAATGCAATATAGCCTAAGCTATTCAAAGGATTATTAAATAATCCATGAAGATGTGTATGATTATTTTTTCTTTGAACAGTTTTTATTTTGTTTTATGCTTGATGTAATTCATATGTGCATGCATGCACGCACATATGCTGACATGCAAGGTTATTTTGGTCTGCAATTAAATTTCGGTGCTAATGGTGAAAAATTCAACCACACCTGATCATTCATGTTAGTAGGCCATTACTGTATAACAAATAATTTAATTCCTGATTGTTTTGTATTTCCAAAATGTTTCTGATTTTTCTGAGTGCTTAATGGCATAGTCTTTCTGACTACTTTTTGTATCTTGTATGTAGGTGAATAAATACAACAAGGAAAATGGTTTTGAATAAGTAGTGCACTTTGATTGGTTTCAGATGTATAATCAATAAAGAGGAAGGAAGATGAAAGCTCTTCACAAAGAGCTAAATTACACTGCACATGTTTCACATTGGGAAATAAATGATTAAAGCCCATCCTTTCAGTTACTTTCAGCTAGAATAGGTAGAGGTAAAGTTGCCCCTGTGCTTAACTAATTAAACACTACACAATGATGGTGTATGGGGGGAACGAATGTGTAGATCCACATCTTTTGACCTTGGCACTAGCTGGAGGTGAGTTCATCTGGCTGCTTTACCTCTGGCTAAAGAGCCCCCAATACTCATTTGTTAAGAAGTTGGGTGGACCCCAGAGCGTGTCTGGACAACTTGGAGAAGAGAAAATTGTTGACCCTACCAGGACTCAAACTCCGAACCCATGGTTGTCCAGCCTATAACCAGTTGCTATACCAACTATGCTATCCCGGCTTCCAGAATAATAGGAAAACCCACAAATTTTCACATGGATAATCAAGCATAAGAAGTTGGATATAACCGTAAGGCCAGAAAGCATGCTGAATCCAGTTCTTACAACTACTGATTCACAATGTACTTGCATTGTAGGAGCATGTCTAAATAGTAAACACAAAGTACATCTTGATTTACTACATATACAGTCAATTTATGGGATTAAAGTGCCTATACCTGATGGAAAAATATCAGCCAAAACATCGATTTTGAAAGACCCGGGAATTTCTGGGGATTAACCACAGTCATTTCACTGTTGTTGACATTTTGTATTCTAAATATAAAAAATTATACTTATATCAGTTTCTTGTAAACCTGAGACTCAGAAAAACAGTGAAATTTGTCATATTTTTGCATACATGAAAACTGAAACTTCATATTTGCATGAATTAAATGCTATTTATTGTCAGAACTTGGAATATGAGATAAACTACTTAGAATTTCTTGAGTATGGTCAAAGAGCAAAGTGGCATGCACTGATACAGGATATTATGGTTCTGGGAAGTACGAAAAGATAATAATCTAATGCATGTTATTTCTGATTATTAATGAGTTACATTAGTTTCTGGGCTGTACCATAGCTCAAGTGGTTAGTCACTGGCTTCCCACCGCGGCAGCCCGGTTTCGATCCCGGGTCTGGTCAAGTGGGATTTGTGGTGGACAATGTGGCGGTGGGGCAAGTTTTCTCCGAGTACTCCGGTTTTCCCTGCCAATCTTCATTCCACCGATTGCTCCACAATCACCCTCACCTATCATCTGGGGCTGGTACAATAGGCCAGAAGTGGCCGCAGTACAAGGGACTTAGTCTCACCCCACTAGCAATAAAAAAAACACATTAGTTTCATTGTATATTAAATGTGTTAACTTGGCAGTTAATAAATGCATTAAACTCTATCAACGATGATGATGTAAATTGAGGAAGCCTCTGAAATAATAGTTTTTAGCTGAGCCATGATGCAGCCAATAGCTGAAGAAGAGTTTAGTGCGTGTTACTTACCTTAAAATTGAAATTGAAATTGTTCCGGGAAGTTGTCCTATAATATCCATGGATTTCTCTTCATTTATATGGATATCTGTTAAAATTACATATAGCTGTTCTTCAAGCTCCATGGCAGCTGCTTTCAGTACAACTCTCACCCAAATTCATTTACAAATTGAATGCCTTCCAAGAAACTGTTAAATACTTTGTACCCTCCTTCAGGTAACTGTATTTGTTTGAATGGACTTTGGACTTTAAGGGTAAAAGGGGTTAATGATCAGCAAACATGCAAATAATCTGACATTAGCTGTCTTTCATGAGTTTCAAATAGAGGGACTTCTGTCACTCTAATAATATTTGAGTACCCTTTGTATTAGAAATCCTTCATTTACTAATTGGATAAAGAATTTCCTGTAAATTATATTATGAAGCATTTGAGTAACGGGAGATTAAAGTATGTATTTAGTTCTTCGCCTGTTACTTTTAATGTGATATGAACCCAGAACTTCTAAAATTGTAATAAATATTACAGGTTCAGTTAAGATAAAATGCTATTAATATTGTGAAATGCTTACAACGTTTGGAATTCAGAACCCTTCGAATTCAGCTCATTGGACCCAAAGGGGCTAAAGTGTGGCTGGCATGTCAGGCTGACAACCTCACTGCCATCTGTGAGCCGACTCTCTAGGAACTGTGGGAGCCTCAATGTCTCTCAACTGTATGGGCCTCCATGGCCTGTTACTGGGATATAATGAAGGTCATTTGAATTCCATTTAGTAAAGTAATAAAATAAGTGTCATATTAACACAGTATTTCAGTCTGTTTTTCTTAAGTTTAAATGCTTCAGATTCCAGACATTTGGTGCTACTTTTTCTGAAGTGCACCAGTGAACAAAAATGTTTCAGTTATTCACTTGCTTATGTGTCATGGCATCACTTATGTTATGTACTATAAAATATTAGTAACGTTCCTGAAGGTGGTGTTTCTTAAAACATTAATTCATATGCAGTTCCACTGAACAGAACTTTCAGACCTAACCATTTTCACCCTTTCTCCCTTGTTATTAGCTCAAATTTTCAACAGTCTGATTAGACTAACAAAGTCAAAGTTCTTGGAAATGTTCTGTTTTTCCTTCCTCTGTCTCCACCACAATTTTATGTGTGGTACAAGTTTGAGTGTTTTATGAAAGACTGAATTATATCATCATTAATACACAGACAGGAAAGCTAAGCATTAAATAACGTCTACTTTCTCTGGCGGTTCATTGGTCCTGTTTTCTTATGAAACAGATCAATTGTTAGTGTGTGGTCCACTTCTTTTTACACAGAATTTGAGAAACTAGTACTCATACAGGTTTCTTCTTCAGTGTTGTAAAATACTGATCATAGTTCTGTGTCACCAGTACATGTATTGTGTTACAGCCAATCAACAAGCACACTATCTAAACTTATTCACCAAGAAATATGGCTCATCAGGTAATGCTTCTGTCTTGTAATCAATGAGTGTCAAATTCACATCTCAGCCAGTATGCCAGCTACTCTGCTGTTGTTCGTGTTTTTTCCCAGTCCTTCCAAGCAGATGCTGTAGTAGTACCTGAATTTAGGTCATGACTGCTTCCATGTCCTTGCCAGTTCATCTTCCTAACATTCGATGCTATATAGAGTCTGAGCTACTGAAAATGTCATTAAATAAACACTAAATTATTAACTAAATACTTGCATGTACATAACAAGGGACTTAGTCCCACCCCACTAGCAATAAAAAAATATATATATTGATATAGCTTCCATGATACAGTTTCATCCAAGTCTGTACTCGCCCTCTTTCATGCTTTCATACTCGCTAAAATCTGTCGTATCAGAAGAATTCATTTCATAACTAGTGAACATGGCTCAGGATTTAAATTTAATCTTACACTTTTTTGGAGCAACTGTTCCCTCCTGAATTTGAAGCTAACTTTGACTATAGTATATGATGCAATACAGTGAGCATGGAAGACTCAAACAGCACAGTTTTTTTAAACAGGAGTGCTTCCTGATCTGTTCACTGAGTTTGGTTAGGAAATTGTGATGATAATGGCTATATATATAATGCATTAAGCCGGTTATTCTCTTTTCCAGTTGCCACTGTAATATAACATCTCATTAAGATAACACTGCACTAATTACATTTTGTAGATTATCAAGATGTTGAAGAAAAACATTATTCTTCTAAAGAACATTTATTGATCCTTTCAAAAGAAAGTATGCTCTTAATGACATGGAAAACCAGAATTAAAATCTGTGAATGTTTAAAATTTAGGTGAAAGAAACAATTTAAGAATTTTTCTTTAATTACATGAAACATTTTATTTCCTTGTACTATATACTCTATCATTAAATTGTCCTATCACACAATATATACTTTTGTCACGATGGCGAACATATTAACATTGAGTTTACATGTAAAATGACTGTAACTGGCTTGTGCATGTCTCTTTTGTCTACATAACAATTAAGTAAAACTCAAGTCCAAACCCTGCTGGACCCCAAATTCAATCTTGTGATCCATTGTCATAATACTGTGAATAAGTACTGTTAAATATTATAGGCCATGACTAATGATTTATGATGTGAATGATGAGCATAATGACAATGCAGTAAAGGATGGAATAATGGATGCACTGCATAACTATTTTAAGGTGTGACCAAATAAGCAAACCCTATCATACTGTTGCTATGTGACATGTATTTGTTTTGCTACACTAAGGGTGTTTTGTTTTTAAATTCTTAACATCTTTGCACCTGTATCACTGAAAGACCCTACAGCAGGGTTGTATCTGTAGGATTATGACCAACCCCATTTCTTCTATATCTTTCAACTTATTCCTACATTAAGTCTGTTGACTAAATTGAATTAGATCAGTTCAGCTAAATGTCACTGCTGAAACCACATCAACAACGGTTTTAATGTATTTATGGTTCACATGTAACACAGTTTAATTGTTATTAAAGTCAGTGTGTTTTCTTAGGCAGCACAAACCCAATACTGTGTACACCATTGCTGTATTACAATTAACATACTTGTGAAAATTTGCTCATTACGCAATAAATATAAAGTTAATGTGAGTTGAAATAGTATTTACAAATCACTGTATAAAATTAAATACAGTGAAGTACATGTACCAAAGCATAAGATCTGGTATTGCTTGAAGAACATTTGTGTCTAAAAGCAGGGGAAAATGTGACTCATATAACATGTAGAACCAAAGTGTAAATGACAATTCAGGATACCTTTTCGAGCATTAACATGAAGAGTCTGTAAATTTATTATCAACTTTAAGCAAATTTATCTCCTAATCAGATCTAGAGTGTTACTGTATTATGATAAGTACTAATGAATTTTATTGAAGTTCTAGAGCATCGTGCTTGGATCTCAGTCCATCCCTGCTTGCTGGCTACTATCTTCCTCAGCTGAACAATACAGACTCTGGCAGTTTCTCTCTTCATAGTCTTGACCATTCGTGAAACTCGTTAGTCAATCATCAATTCAAAATGTACTGACCCTCGCCTCTCAGCACGATCATGGCGGATGTTGTGCGCCCATGCCTTACATTCAATGTTTATCAACACACCAGCTGAAATTATAAAAAAAAAACAGATTCTTCATTATAAAGATCAGTTTGGCAGTTATACCTTCATATGAATGTCAGAGGGGGTAAAATTACTTCTGACAAGGAACAATAACTTACAGTATATCAGGAAATATTACATACAGTAGGACTGTGCAGCAAATTGCATGTGAGTCACAAAAACTCAATATTCCTTTTAAAAATAATCAGTACCTTGCATTTAAATTATTTTGTTGACTGAAAACATAACTAGATTACATTCTGTGGTTAGAATAGTGGCATTTCCATTTTTTCAGGTACCAAAACAGAAATATAGTAAAGCAGTATAATTCACTATTTCCTCTTTCTGATTTTTACAGTCATTCAGTTGCTGAGTAGGAAAGAAATTCTTTTTTAGACACCCACTGACAATGAAATTAGTAGCAGTACGATAATCACAAATATTACGAATGTATTTTGTTTATTATGTGTCTGCAAACTAAATTATTTCTAGTCCTGGTTGCACTGTCAAATAATTTTATTTCAGTATCTTCTGTTGAGTATTTATTTATGCTGTATCAGCTGTCAAGATTATTTAATATTAACTTATTAGTAATGAGTGTATAAACTGGTAAAATGAATAGCATGGATAAGGGAACAGCCCTCAGAAAAGGTATGTCCAGTACCCCATTTTACTACCAAATATCTCACAGGTTTCGATGAGTATTGAATTCAAGTTCATTTTTTGTGAGGCTTATGTATTAAACCAGAATCATCAGATTAAAACAAACTGGGTTGAACTTCACACAATTTATCCCAGCACACTCTCCTTAGGTATTATAAACAGCTAACCATTTTCTATACCTGTGCAATAGAACATAGAATGTCAATTACCCATTTCTGAGTTCATTATATAAAAACATAGTATGTGAAGTGGATTTCGGGTAGCTGGTGGAACTTGCTAGATTTGAGTTTTTCACAGCAGTCACTGTGAGGAACACAAGGCCTGCTGGAGGGTGAAAGACTTGTTAAGTTCATGGAGCACAAGACAATTCTTCTTCTTAAAGAGATCCTCGCTTTCTGAAGGATTCTGCCTACAACTTCAGCTGCAGGGTTCTAAGTCTTCTAGACTTTACAGACCCCCGCAGTTCAACAAGGAGGGGGGGGGGGTTCCTTTGAGGTCCATTCTGAGCACCACTGGGGCTCCAATCTACTGCTTGTCTGAACATCTGGCAGTTGTACTTGGGTCTCATATTGGCAACTCACTGTATAATGTGGATAATTTTCCAGACTTAATTTGCATTTTGGACTGTCTCCAGGCTGGATCCCAGACCATCATGATCAGTTTCAGTGTGGCATTACTCTTCACCATGCTGCTGACCATGGAGGCCATGAGCCTTCTAAGTCAACATTTTGCGGAGAATATCCTGAGGCTGTTCTGACATGTCCTGACATCCTCCTACTTCAGCTTCAGTAGCCAGGCATACAAACATATGGCATGGCTGTGGGTTCATTGCTGGCACTGGGGATTGCCAACTTCTTCATGGAGGGCTCTGAGATGGTGATGCCCAGCTGAGATACCTGTAAGCTCCCTCTGTTTCACTGTAGCTACAGAACCCTTGGTCAAGGGTGTGTTACAGAGTGGAATGTATGTTTCTCTGGTGGACAACAGATCTTAAACATTTATGTAGGAAAGCCTTAAATGGAGAAAACTTAATATAATATTAATAAGTGTGGGTTTGCTGTAATTGTACATTGAATAAAGGAATTATTTAAATAAAGAAAGAGTAAACAGGGATACTGCTGCATATAATAAACAGTGAACCTACTGGTGGGTCTTTCAAACCAGACTGCAACCAAAGGGCTGAGATATCCTTCCTTGTTTTTAAATGGGAAGAAGAAGCCTGGAAATCCTCGTCGAGGAATGTACTGGATAGGCCCTATGTTCTCCACATCAGCCGGATTTTCTCCTTCACAGCTAACCCAGACAGTGTTTAACTGAAACAGGTAACATTAGTGTGATTAGCAATTATGCAACTATTGATGCATCCATTTCAGCCTAATACATTGTAAAGAACTGTATTTAATTTAAATGACTGGTACCGTATTTCAAACACAGTTGTAGTCAGAAACATTTTTTTTTGTCTGGTTTAATAACTTGATGTCTTAAATTTGAAGTCCAGATACACAAATGTGTATCACTAAGAATGCACTAATTTGAAATGTGGATTGTCTGTTGCAGATGAGGTCATAGTAGGTTTGTATTCCACCACTATTATGGATGTGTTGGCATGTGGACAATTGTACCATTACTGTGGGTGAAACAAATCTGCTATGCAGAAAGACACACTAAAGAGGAAAATTCTCTGTATGGTTCCAACATAAACACACCATTTTCACACATAATCTACACTGGACAGAGTAGTAGTTTTCTGACTTCTGCTATGATTCTGAAAGTTCAGATGGGAGAGATGTTGAAGCTGGGTGGGTTGACTGATTGGATGATCTACCAGAGACGTGGGAAGATTCCTTATATTTCCTGTAGATGGTGTTTGGATTTTTAATGTTTTTAATGTTTCTCTTAACTCTCTCAGATGGTTTATGCTGTGCTTGGTTTATATATTCTATCTCGTGTTGGTGCTGGTGTTCGGAGGTAGGGACTTGCTCTGTTGATTTGGCCCAACTGATAAGGTTCCCCCAGAGGACAAAGACAGAATCCAGTCTTCAAAAATTGTGTTTTAAATAAAAACAAGTGATGAATAATGTCCAGAAACACAATAACTGTATTAATATACCATCATCACAGACTTTTAGATCTTAGAGCTTTATTTATATAAATATATATTTATTTACGGCATAATAGCATATTTTGTATGTGGTATTAAAATTGAATTGACATTGGTTTTCCAGGGCATTACAATTGAAGAGGATATCAGTACATTGAACAACCACAATTACAAGTAATTATGCATGAGGTTAAAGTCCATAATGTTGTTATATACATAATTCACCAGTGTGTTCAAGTGAAGATGCTCTAAAGCCAGACAACTGTAAATTATTTGTGAAATATTTGCCACCTACTGTGACTACTCTGGTTCAGCCAATGGATCACAGAGTGATTGCAACAATACAAAGACACACCAGGGAAATTATTTTACAGAATTACACTGATTAAGGCATTGATCTGAAAATGCTGTAGAAGAGGATCTCTTTATTAGATGCCATGTATGAGATGTCATATGCCTGGATTATGGTAAAGCTGCTATTTTTGCAAGTCACAGTAAAGATACATCCAGATAAAAAAATTAATGGCTGCATGGCATTTTAGGATGAACATATTTTTAATACTGGATTAGTCACCATTTTGTAAAAGAGGCTCTGGAAAGTTGGCAGTGAAAACATCACAGTAGTTTGTTCTTGAGTGTACCAGGCCAGATTACAAAGTGCTGAATGCTGTTCAAGTGTTAGAAGGGCACAAGAGCATGCAACTGAATCAAATGATAGTGAGGATAAAGCAGAAATTATTTAAAAGAGTGTAGCAACATACAGCTGCCCTTGAATAGACTAAGGGTTTTCGGGATTACCTGGATTACCTGGTAAGGCAAGGCTTGAAACAGTAATAAGAAAGAAAGACTCAAAAGTATATAACTTTACTTTTAAAGTGCATTAACTTTTGTTGTTTTTCTTTTTCTGTATGTGTGTTAAGCATGTTGTGTAATTAATACACAGTGCAATGATGTTACGAGGTCATTGGGGAAACAGAGAGAATACAGACTTAATGGTAATACACTTATATGCACTGTCAACACAACATTGTATACAGTCACTATTAATAGATATGTGCTATAACAAATCTGCATGTTTCGATGTTGCTGGATATCATCAAATTGGTGCAATACACTTATTCTGTAGGAACTGCTATTATTCCTTACATTGTAAATACTGACCCATATTTAGCAGGATTTGTATTGTACTTAAATTTAAATGTTTACATCTAAAATTACAAAACTGTGATAAAATTATTATAAAATCTTTAAAAATCATCATACAATTAAAATTACTATATAACGTCACACAAGTCATTATTATTGTGTCCAATTGATATGTCAGGGATTAGTTACGGGGCCTACCTGACTGTTTCTCACATTCCACGCATTACTAACTTGTCAGCTGTTATATACATTTAGTGCCCATTATGATAATATGTTCATTAATTCTATTGTGTATGCTGGCATTTTTAATGTATTTTTGACCAACTTTTGTAGCAAAGATTGTGTTGTATATATATATTTTTTGGTTTGTTTTGTCTGGTGTTTTGTTGTTTATTAGTGGTTTCCTTCTTTGGACATTGGTGAGTGGTACTGTTGTCTGTATGCACTAGCTGTGTTGGTGAGGTGGATGGAAGTGTCCACAATGTATAATACAGTATAATGCTAACTACAGAGTCTAGACCACTGGTTTAGTAACCATTTTACATGCTTATGGGAAGGCAAATGATGTATGTTTAATACTTCTTTCACTATTTCTAATAAAATACGTTTGTATGCTGTGGCAGCAACATTAGCATAAAATAATCATCACTTTTTCTATCCCTTTTGCTAAAGATACCTATTAATTATCATTCTCATCCTAAGTGGAACAGAATGCTGAAGAGTGTCATGCACCATGTATGACAGTATATATTGTATCTGGAATGTGAACAGTGGTACAAGAACACATGTTATACTTTGGTTTCAGTTCATGTTGTGTATGTTTTGTTGACTGGCCATAAACGTAATTCTGTAGAAGCATATAATGAAATTAACTTACTGCATGAGGATTCTCTACGGTCTGAATGTGGTCCTTCAGATCTTTTGGCATGTTCTCAGGAAGAGAATTTGTGTCATTATAATACTCAGGAACCCAGCCGTAGATCTAAAAAATGAGTTACATTAAGAGTAGCATAATTGGAGAACAGTGACACGTTACATATTGCTCTCCCAAGGCTTGCATGGTGATTTTAAAATTGCATAAAAACTATTAGTGACAATTCTTATGTATTGTTGTTGGCTGTTTTCTGTACATAATAAATTTGTTGTGAACAAATACTTCTAGGAAGAACAGTATATCTGCTTATTAAAAGATCATCAGTATAACTTGAAAAAATATATGTATTCACCCACTTCTCGACCTATGAACAGGTCAACACATGCGCACACACTATGCATGATAGATTTCTGCTGGGTTTAATATGTTTAATTTTGCATTTGCTTCTAATAACCTGATGTGAATGTTAAGTTTCATGCAAAGCTATCGCTAGAATTTATGGGAAGCGGCAGATACTATGACATGATATCGTAAGTGCATATTTTGTCATAGAATATTGTAAGTAGGCTAAAAATTAAATTTTCAACATAATGTATTCCTTTATCTTGATCCATATTAATAAATGCATCACAGAACTTTATAGACATCCTCTTTCAGTGTTCATTATGTGGGCTTTGTTGCCAATTTTTTAAAACCAGACTTCTGACTCACCTTATTTAATTTGAGGAATATACATGGGGCAGACCTGTGATAGCTGTAATGGTTTTCTGATGAACAGTAACTCCACTCCTTGGGATCCACATAACACACTTTGTCTCCAGGATAGTTTTCAAAGTCACAGTGTACTGTATTTTTCCCATCTCCAGGGACAGTACCAGGATTCTTGTATACTACGAAAGGGAGAAAAGCGCATTATATAGTGGTATTTGTATATAAAATAACACATAAAGTAAGTAAAAAGTAAAGATATCCCTATAACAGTCTGTGGAGACCCATAGGGTTGTGAGATGTTTAGGTTCCCACATTTTCTAGACAATCGGCTCATAGATGGTGGCAAGATGTCAGCCTTATGCACCTGCCGGCCCTTTACCTCCAAGAATATTCATGGTACTCATTTCTGTTGGAGGTTGAGTTGACCCCAGGGCCACAGTGCCGCTGGAAGGATTAGGTAAATTGAAAAAATCCAATGACATCAGGATTTGATCCCGTGACCTTCCAGCTTGTAGCATAGTGCCTCAACCAACTATGCTACCGCGTGCCCCCCATAAATAACACATAGGCAATTTAAATGTGGCTGAAATTGCAATAGGTGATTTGAATAAAATATGTAGTGTTCAGATAGCCAGTAGAGAAAAGGGCTGTTGCATGTACGAGTACATGCGCACACAATTATTGTAGGATACAAAACACCAGTTCTCACCGACACTTTTGTAAATATTTCTACTTTTCTCTACTTCCAATTTACACATGATTACCAGACTACAATTGTCCATGTTCAGTCACATACAGAAAAGAACTAGGCTTTAAATCTGCTATGTAAGAGTTGAGGTTTTCACGACGGTGACTATGAAGAATGCTGTCTTCTGGGATGTGGCGCTGTGTAGATCTTGTGTAAACAGACGTTTCAGAAGAACGTATCGCCTCCATCTTCAGGGTATAAAAATCCATGAGTGAAGAACCAGCATGAGAAGTCTGCAGCCACGTGCTCAAGTTAGTTCCTCACTCGCAGATTTTTCTACTCTGAAGATGGAGGCGATACGTTCCTCCAAAACGTCAGTTTACACAAGATTACACAGCGCCACATCCCAGAAGACGGCATTCTACTTAAATCTACTAGTCCTACTGTCTATGTTTCTATAATTCTGAATTAATATCTCATAACTGTCTTAAGTTCAGAAAAAATATTCACCATTTTACACGCTAATAGGATGCCATAACAATTGTGAGAACAAAATAAGCAAATTGTTATAGTAATCAAAAAGTTAAGATTACTAGTAAAGCAAGATTTTTTTCAGACAATGAAATAAACCAGTAAACACAAATATGCAAGTGATCTGGGCTCATTCTGCCTTATGTAATATTGTACAATACTTCATTGTTTAAATTTTTATTATTTTATGTTTCACTTGTGGTTTGTACCTCCAGTTTCGTTTGGTTCTTGACTTTTACTGTTTGCCATCAAATTATAATCCATACTGGTATCAGTTTCTTAAAGGATCCATAATAGGTTGAAATGTGATATCAAAATATGAGTAATTCTAGACATTAGGTTGTGTGACAGTTGCGTGCAAACTCTCGATGATGAATCATGTCAGACAGCACTGTAAATTATACATATTTTGATTTGTACTATGAAGTTATTCATAAGAGTAAACTCTATTATAAATATACAGCTAGACCTCAGGCAAATTAAACCTACACGTTGCTGACACAAATGTTAATCGTTTTTAATCTCTATAAAATACTAAGGGTCCCAGGAAGCATGATTTGGCCCACACCCCACATCCATATAGAGATGGTCCTGATTACAAAATTGCATAACCAGGAACTTTGCAATTTCCAATCAAAAGAAGCCAATGAAATTAAAGCACACAGTAATGTGCCATATGTAATACTGAAATGGAAAACCTACTAAAATAATACATGAGGAGGTGAAAAGCAATAGGAGTAAAAGGCCACAGGAACAGTGGAAAAATTATACTAGGCAAATAAAATATATGTCTGTATCACATTTTCATTTTTTACAATGTTCTTGCTTTGGTAAATGTCCCACTTGTGGACCTAGGTGGTTAAATATAAATTAATTGTAAGGAACTCTGTCACACTAAATATCCCTTGCTTTTTAAAGCAACGCTGAATTGGCTGCTTTGTTCTTACAATGGAATATACTATATAAATAATTGCACTTACCTTGCAAGAATTTATCTAATTCATCTGTCCAGTACTTGTAGTTACGTTCGTCATTTCCCCTGTACCAGATCAAGGTACTTTCAACATTGCTTTCAGGAGGCATTGGACGGAATCCCAGACCTAATATACAATGAAGAAAATTTATACAAACAGGAAGATTCAGTAACAGTCCCAGTACTTGAACAGGTGGACTGATATACAGTTACAAGGATAATTCCCAAAACCCTTAATGAAAACACCCAATAACATGTACTTTATGAATATACAATAAATTCCCTTTCAAGTGTTCTACTGGGTCGTATTCAGGAAATCAGTTTTGAGCAAACACTTATAGTTGTTAGGAAAAAAAGACACACTCAGCACAACAAACTGAACCTGTTCTAGATATTTACATAGTTAACATACATCTTCAGAGATAAGTGACACTGAACCTTTAGATTATTTGCTTTTGGGCATTTCATCTGTGGTTCCATAGTATAGACTATTGCTATTATGGCAATAGCACTGCATTGTTGGCTGAGACAATGAACCTTGTGCATGCTGTCCTAACATAGTACTCAACACAAGAAATTATATAGCCTGTGCATAATTAAATTCTGAAACAAAAAAAAATCAGACTTCTTATCATTTTATAATATTGTGAATGATACTAACAGTATAGATCCACAACTGTAGCTACAGAGAGACAATTATGTTTACTGAGCAAACTCTGCCTTTGTAAAATAGGGACTGTGTTATTGTTAAAAAAAATATAATATCTTCGAAGAAACAAGTAAACTATGAATTTCTTGCCTTCTTGTACAAAAAATGTATTTACATGACAACCCAGTGCAGAAGAAAATAAATTTAACTTTGAAGAGACACCACTGTCAGTAACAGCCAATATAGCACAGCATGCATGAAATGTCATGGGGATACTGTTATTTTCTGTGACCTAGGGTCCTATTCTTAACAGATATCCAGGAAATATTATATTTGAAACATCTATAAGAGTTCTGTGTTACTTCCTGATTTACTTTTCCAGTCAGAACTGTCACATTTCTTGAAGACCTGAATTAATTTACTGCTCCCTCATTACACATTCATCAATGAAGAAAGATCCAAATAAACTTAAACGAATTAAATGTTTTATTCTCTTCACAGATTTTTAATGTAGTGTAGTTATTTTTAATCTGCAGATATGTTGTAGTGTACTAGAAATTTAAAAAACTTTTACACATGGACAGCACAGCAATGCAGCCAACCCAACATGTAGTTGTGTATAGGCAAGCCCCCACAATACACAAAACATGCAAATGTAACACTACTTAGTCAACTATATACACAACTATAACACATGACATCCACATGTTGGCACTGAATGCAGTTCAAAATAATTTTAATAGATTTACTTTAATGAACTTTTAATTATTTCTAGGAACAGATGATTTCAAGAATTAACATTGCATGTAGATATGTGACACAGAATAGAGCATACAGTGAAACAATTTTAGCAGAAATAGACTTTAAAGGATTCTGACGATGGTGTATGCTGTATAGAACTATAAAGTTTATTTTGGACTCTATCCATCGTCTGGTATATATAAGACAAAAAACCGCAATGTTTCGGAGACTGGATCTGTCTCTGTCCTCAGGTGGATGGGGCAAGGTAGACCTACTCAGTTGGGCCAGTTAGAAAGAGCTAGTCTCAATCACTGGTCCACTGGTCACTGGATGGAGACAGATCCAGTCTCCGAAACGTTGTGGTTTTTGTCTTATATATACCAGACGATGGATAGAGTCCAAAATAAACCTTATAGTTCTATACAATTTTAGCAGAACTCGCATATAACTGATGATCGTTGTATATGGCCAAAACATATTGCAGTAAGATAAGACATATATGAGACAAAAGTAAATGCTGCAGTTAAGTCGGTAATATACAATATATTATAAAATTGCAATATTAATGCAACAGGATGATTGAGTACAATATTATATTCTGTTAGGGACTATTTCCAGTCACAAGAGTTATATTTACATGAATAATTCTCTGCTTGAATTTCCTGAGAAATCTGATTTATCTTTCACAGCCTAGGATGAAATGTTATTAATTAAATCTACTATGCCTCTATTTCTCAATAAACACCTATATATTACTTATGAGTTATCCTTTGTGATTTGATAACCATGAATTTAATTGACTGGTGGGAAATTTAATTAAAACGTGGAAATAAGCCAAACCTTAGACCCAGGCATAAAGTGATTAGTGTGCAATTCTCTGACAAGAGTTCTGTTACATAAAGAAATTCCACCTCCCTCAGAAACGTTTTTAAATACACATCAGCAGCAGTACTTCCTAATGATAACAATTCATGACAAAATAATTCCTCAGTTTTTCTTACCTTGTCCTCGATCGAAAACAAATTGGGCAAACTCTGTCTAAAAATAGGACATTGAATTTTGTCACATGTGCTTAAGATTCAGCTACCAGTAGATATTTTACTTGCTTGTATGACTGGGACTTTAGAAAAATTTCAACCTTAGGACTGAGTAACTTATATCTTACCTGGGTTGTTTCCAATGACAGATTTATCTTGTTGCCACTTGGGTATTCGTAAATCTATTGTTTGGTAGAAGACGGCTATCATGGCCAAGAAGAAACCAATCAGACCAGAGTAGAAGAGAATATAGAATAAAATAATTTTTCCTGTAAATAAAGGGAGTAAAATTGGCCAGTAAGTTTAATATAGTACATCACCTCTTCCACATAACATACTTAAGTTCTGTGCCATTATTTTCTGAAAGGTAAACAGTGGTCATGTGTTGCACTGTGTGGTATTTAAAGAATTATGCGTACTTGTATGACTTATTTCAGTGTTCAGATAGGCAATATAGGGCTTTTGATTGTGTCAAGCACAACCTACTAATCCAAAAGTTAGAACATTATGGTATTAAAGGATGTATTTTGAAATGGCTCAGATCACATTTACATAATAGGAAACAGAGAACCGTATTACATACTCATGACTCAACCACCTTTCTTTCTAGATGGGTAACCTGCAGACATGGTGTTCCCCAGGGTTCTGTTTTGGGACCATTACTATTTAATGTTTACATTAACGACCTACCAAGTACACTAGATGGTTTGGCTCATACCATTCTTTACGCGGATGATACCTCCATTATTGTTTCCTCAAAAGACATCTCAACATTGAATCATAAAATAAATAAAATAATGAATCATATCTATGAATGGTTTCAAAATAATCAATTAGTCCTTAATCTAAAGAAGACGCATGTAATTAAATTTACTACGCCTATGACCATGGACTATCCATTACATGTGGAATATAACGATCAAGTTCTTAATATTGATGAAAGTGTTAATTTCTTGGGTGTGTGCCTTGACAGTCATCTCAAGTGGAAACAATATTCGGATAATTTAATAAAAAAATTAAGTACTGCAATTTTCATGCTTAGAAAATTGCAGCCTATGGTGAGTGGACAAGTTTTACGTATGGTTTACTTTTCTCATGTGCAGGCTCAACTTAATTACGGTATCATTTTTTGGGGCTCTTCTTCATCAACGAAAAGTATATTTACTGTACAAAAAAGAGTGTTAAGAGTTTTGTTAAGATTAGGGCCAAGGAGTTCATGTAGGGAAGGCTTTAAGACAACGGACATACTTACTGTCCCTTGTTTATATATATATTCCATAGTCTTGTTTGTACTCAAAAATCCTGATATGTATGAGGTGTATAATGGTATACACAAATTAAGTACCAGGTGGCATAATAAACGACATGTTTCCTTTGTGAGATTATCTTCCATTCAAAAGAGTGTGCATTTTTCATCCATTAGAATATTTAATAACTTGCCACACAATACATATTCTTTGAAAGACAATATTAATACTTTTAAACAAAGGCTAAAAGATTATCTTATTTTAAATGCATTTTATTCGGTAGATGAATACATGGCATACAGGCAAGCATAATACATTATTGTTGTCTTTCCAAAATTACGTATTATCTAGATTTGTTATGACTGCTTTTAATTTTATTATTGTATTTTCATTTTATAATTCCTGAATATTTTAATTGTTGAGACTAGATTGCATTTTGCAATGTCATCTTGCTGACGAATTCAATATCCGGTCCGGTTTCCGGACAATGGATCTGTGAAATTATGTATGTATGTATGTATGTTTCTGCAAATGACAACTATAATATGTTGAATCTGGTGTATACAAGTATATAGTATTATTCCTACTCCTTCTTTCTCTAAATAAACCAAAAATAACATTTTTCAATATCCATCTCAAACAGTTACCTTAGATGTTGCATAACAACACAGAATTGTGAAATGCGATTTTTTGTGAATAAGTTCACTTCTTGGTAGCACTGTCTATGTATAACATACAGTATGTCCTGTAAATATATAAGAGGACTTGGTTTTTGGACTTTCAATTTGTGCTGATGAGTTTAAAGGGTAAAATAACTAACCAGTCAACTAATTCCCATGTATATGCATGTAAATATCATTCACCCATTTCCATCTCAGATTTCCAAATGGCCCCTTCTAAGAGGTGTGTGCATCCTTCTCTCTCAGTCCGAGCTACATTCCCAAACAATCTTAACCACTGAAGAATTCCTTCTTCTGAGATATAACACCATGTAGTTCATTTGAAGTCAACTGATGTTTCGGAGGAGCGTGTCACTTCCATCTTCAAGGTGGAAATATAAGCCAAGCAAGAAACCAGCATGAAGTAGGTGGCAAGTAGAGAGCAACGATATATACGGCGTTATATCCCAGAAGATATAATTCTTCGTAACCACCACTGTGGTTACTTCTTTTATTTCACCACCATAATAACTAAATAAATCACGAAATGCCTCATTATGTAACATCTTAGATTTCCCACTTGCTATATCCTCTTTAGCCAAAATATTGCTCCTGGCACTTTATATTCAAACGCTTGTAATTTATGCTGTGTCCAATAACTTTTAATTTCTGAAATATCATTATTTTTATAAACTTCCGGGGGGGGGTGCTATTTGTATTTCCACATGTTCTCTGCAGAATTAAGTGAAGGTCATACTGAGAATATCACTTGCGGCCCCTGAAAGCGCTACAATGGCATCGGGTCGATGAGATAGGAGGCCGACCTGACGTCAGTGCTGTCGTTAGTTGGCTGGGAGCCGCTAGAGCGCTAGAGTATTGATCTGTGTCTGGGGTGTCTCACGAAAGATGGAGGCAGGACTGACCTAGTTTAATACATCAGTAACTGTTTAAAACAGTCGTCATTTATTTGGGAACGAGAGTAACAAATCGGTTGAGGAGGAAATTAAGAGGAGACTGACTCCTGGTAATGCTTGCTACCATTCAGTCAGAAGCTTTTGTCTTCTCGGCTGCTGTCTAAAAACGTAAATATTAGAACATACAAAACTATAATTTTGCTTGTGGTTCTGTATGGGTGTAAAACTTTGACTTTGATATTAAAGAAGGAACAGAGACTGAGGGTGTCTGAGAACAGGGTGCTGAGGTGAATATTTAGATCCAAGAGATTTGACATGATGGGAGGTCGGAGCAAACTGTATGATAAGCTATATACGTGTCACGTGTACTCTTCGCCAGTATAATTAGAATGATCAAGTCGAGGAGGATGAGTTGGGCAGGGCATGTGGCACGCATGGGGGAGATGAGAAAAGCGTATAGGATTTTTATGGGGAAGTCACAAGGAGAGAGACCACTAGGAACACCTAGACGTCGGTGGCAGGATAATATTAAGATGGATCTTAGAGATCGGATGGGATGGCATGTACTGGATTGATTTGGCTCAGGACAGGGACCAGTGGAGGGCTCTTGTGAACACGGTAATGAACTTCCGATTTTCATAAAATGTTGGGAAAGTCTTGAGCAGCCACGCAACTGGCGGCTTATCAAGAAGGGCTTAGATCCATGGAGTTAGTTAACTAGTCTCGCGAAAGGGCGGAGGCAGGACTGACCTAGAATAATACATCAGTACCGTAAGAACAGTCACTGTTAAATGGAATGTAGACATACGTACACTATTTGTCAAGGGTTGCTCGGAGTTGTGATATTTGCTTCTTTGTGAGAATCCAATAGTGCATTCAAGAGCTGCACCTTTGAGAATGAATTGTTCACTCGCTTGAAAGATAAGAGTAACCGGATAAAAACGTCTTGGGAAGCTAGCGACGGTATTATTTGAGTCCAACCTGAAACTTTTTCTGTAAAAGGTACGCGAATGTATTCTTTTTGTGTGGCCTACGATGGTGCTGGGGAATTTCTGCTCCCTTTCTTCCCCCCCCCCTCGATTCGGGAAAACAAAACCTTTCCGTATTTCATCCAAGGTGGAGAAGATATCACAGTGTCCATAACGAACATTTTACTTCTAGGGAAGAGCATAAATAACTTGTTTACAAAAACTGTGGGGCTCACTTGGGACACCCAGAAGCAGGACTTAAATAAATGCGGTGTGGATTTGTTGAATTGAAGGGTGCTGTGACGGGTTCTGAAACTTCGGGTCCCATAAACGGCGTGAGTTTCCCGACTAGCTGCGGGGCTATCACTTTCTCAGGAAGGAGATTTTATGACGCAATTAAGGAGTCATACCGAAATTGTAAAAATCTATTTTTTTATAATTAATTCTGAACTGGCAGAGGGCACTGGTCCTAGTCCGCGGAAACTGAAAAATTTTCAACTTCATTTCGGCGTGTATGAAAAATGTTTTCACAAAGGTCATTTCAATGATGAGTTATCAACTGAGATAAACTCGGGAGGGTTGTACTCGTAGGTAAGCACTTCACGATGCTCTTGCTTTACACTATACCACATGTCCTAGAAGTGATCGGATGGATTCCGGATCTATTTCCTCAAAGCTCTGAGCTTTATTTGGAAGTGGTCCTTTGTTCCGGAAGAGCAAAACGAATGTGCTCTGTTTCGATTGTGTGTGGCCTCCTATAATGTTGACACTCTTTTGTTAGATGTACGAAATGACTTGTTTATCTCATCATTGACATTCATATTACACAGGCCTATGAGCTAATAGGTCGAAGTATTAGCACATTTATCCCGTGTCCATCGCTTTTGAAGATAATGAATGTTAATTAAATAAAGAAAGCAATTAGTATGAATCCACGACTCCATTGCATCGTCGTGTAACCTACATTTTCTGATCTATCTGATCATGAATGGTAAAGCCAGTGACATTATGTAGGCATTTATTAAAATTTTAGTGACAGTTTCTGCTTCAAAAGGCGCTTGTTAGCTTGTTGTTGTGACTGTTTTTCGCGGATTTTGAAAGAACGCAGATCCCCATTGATTATGCCCCGTTCTCAAATTTTCAGAAATGCAGAATATATATCGCGATCAAGAACTTAACAATGATTCATTCTCGGAATTAAGTGAAGTCTTCTCGAGACCTCAAAACGAATACAAAATACGACTTCGGAAGTGCCCGCTAACTACTTCTGTGCTTCAGACTCGGGAGAAGGGCCACGTCAAAATTAAATATGGGAAGAATTCTGTACAGACTTAGACTCAGCGTTCCTCGGTACGGGTACATCTCTCTGAAACGTGTCACTATAAGACGGAGATGGAAATAAGCACATTGTTCTGCACTGGACTAGAACTTATAATTTAGAAAGTTATATTTGATAAATAAAGTACTTATAAGATCAGTGC